TGATATGGTTATATGTAAAAAGACCCAAAATTCAGACTTCAAGATGGCTGCTACTACTGTTTTTAGCTATGCAACATTTTTTTAAGATCATAGTAAGTGATAGAGTGTCAGAAACCATATAACACAAGCAAGACAAAAAACTCAAATAAATCAAAAGGTGGCAGGAACTGAACAGAAAAAATACAAGTACTTTGGGGTGGTCCTTTTGGGGACCATACAGGAGTTTTGGAGGGCTGTGTGCACACACACACTCTCTTGTTGGCTATTGCATGTGCTTGCCAACATTGGCTAACGTTACTGTTATGAAGCTAGAAAACACAATTCAAACAGCCCACCCTCAAAACTCCCCCGACAAAAGTAGTTCTACAGAAGTTCCTGCCACCTTATGTTTATCAGAAGGGTGGCCAGTGTGTACTTTCAACAGCTTGATGTGAAATTTGCCTGCAGAGTAAGTAAGTTTACTTGAATGGGAAAAAACACCCAGGAAAGCTAAAACGGAATGCAGTTCTAAGAATTAATTTCGCCTGTCACTGAGTTTGCGAACCTCAGAAGCATGAAAGAATTAGAAATCAAGAGGGTGACCTGTAGTTTTTTTTTTTTTGGAAAAATGGCTCCTTAATCAACATAATGCTGTTTGTCACTCATGGCTGCGAAAAAACAAACAAGTTAAAAACTAGCTAACATTTGTTGTTAACAAAACTATATGTTCCACCCATAAACAGCTGATTTTTGCTTCATTTCAGCTAAGAAAATAGTGAGCAAACAGACAGGCACGCAGTTTGAACAATGCTAACTGGTGTACATAAGGCTCCTTTACTTGTTAGACACATTAGTCTCACAGCTCCAATGCAAAACTAAAGAAGTAAACTTAGTGCACCAAACATGGATTGGCTGAGCGACTACATTGAAGGTAAAGGGTAAATTATAAGACATTGATCATCTCATTACGAAGTCAGACAGAAAGGAGCTCATCTCATCTGACCAGGCCTCTAACGACTGGGTTTGGGCCTGAGTCTGGCCCATTAAGAATCACTCAGACTAATGTATGGCTCTGCATGCACATGAGCAGTCAGCGATATGGAAGAGGACGGGAATAACAGGTAGAAGTGATTATGTGGGGATTTCACCCTGTGGAGCTGATGCAGACATGGAGGGGGTCCGTCTCAAATCCCTCGGCAGACAGAGCCGAACAAATTGGCTGCACACTTATACGCTCAGTCTCACACACAGACACCTCGCATGCATAATCTATGTCTGACACAAAAAAACATGCACATTCTCTACCAGCAAAACTGCAAACACACTGCTAAATGTGCTCACACATGTCTTTCTTATAACGCTGTGGAAGCGTCATATAGTAATTACACCAATACAATCCACACGTGAATAATTACCAGCTCTCTAATGAAAAGAAGGTGGATCAATTTTAATGCTAGAGTTGAGTGAAGAGCTTTTATTTAGACTTTTTTCCCCACCCACAGGACATGTCATCCACTCGACTAATCATCATGAATGATTCTTTTTTCCTAAATTCTTTTACAATCAGATGCTCCTGGCAACGATTCTGCTCAAAACCTAAAGTGAATGCAAGTCACTCAGAAAGCTGCCTCTCAGTGAAGTAATAAGACCAGTGTTTCTAATGTGTCCTACAAATGCTCTTTTGTTGGCAGAGATAATGATCAAAACAGGCAGACCGCAGGGGATTGTGAACAACAGTTTGGCAGAATTAAAAGAAAAGAGACAGAAGCAGAGCATGAATTGAAATAAAAGAATTATTAGGGGGGATATTATATGCTAGTCCTCAAGAGGATCCATTTCACCAGTTCAGCCACTCTCTGAATCGCTATCTAATGCTAATAAGGTAATACAGAGCTCCTTTTCTCGATCTGTATCTCTCTGCAACCCTCTGAGTGCATCTAATGTTGTCAGCACATTTTAATACCACTCAGAAGGGCTTTCAATGCCATTGTTTTGCTTTGAAAAATGTACATATAAAAATATACTGTCCATACTGTTTTTCTGTCAGTTAGAAAAAATGTTGTGTTTTTGCTGTATGAAAATATGATTCACAATCACTTTTCTGTGACCTGCACCATCATTTGAACTCACTTTTGACCTGAAACCATACTTTATGTTTTACACATTGCTGCACAAAACATAGACAAGTCTTAGTTCTAAATATAATCTTTGTGTTCCCTATGTTAGACAGAAGATAAGCTCATTCAAATAAATTAGAACAGCTACTCAGGCATACAGCAATATTAACAAGCATAGACATTTCTCTCTTCATTTTAGTTGTTTGTTTTCACTTTGTTTGATTGAAATATAATTACTGAGGTCATTTTGGAAGCCAAACGCTGTTATTGTACCTGCATGTCTTTACTTGTCTATTCAGCCCCATGTATATGTGGACATACAGCAAAACAAAATGGTGCATCCTCAGAGCTAAGGTGCAACATAAAACATGCAAAGTATGACAAGACATGCACAGGACTAAATATCCAGATTCATCCTTTGCAGTATATAAATAACTACATGTGGTCAATAACAGCTTACTGACAGCAATAAAGTGACTAGGAGTGTAATAATGCAAAACTGTGACAATGTCTATTGTGGAAATGTGGCAATGCATCATTGAGAATGGACATTCTATTAATTAGACCATCTAATGCAACTGCATTTTGTGAACGATCAGCACAGATCAACAACTCTCTCCAGCACTCCTCCTGCCTCACAGCTCTAGTGTTGTTAGTAAGTTGTGCAACAACATGATCAACCATCATTTTTCTCCATTAAAATTTTGTTTAAAGTATCCTGAGAATACTGAATCACAAACCCAACACCACCACAGATGTTGTAAAGTGCACCTGCGATAATAAATATGGAGGGATATGTGTTCACTGAGATGAGATTTTCACATGAATACTGTAGAGATATGAGCGCTGTGTGCATGTGAGGCACAAGTGGGTAACATTTTCTTTTACAGTCCGCAAAGTTCTAAGTATTAACAGGTAAGTGTGAAGTAAAAACTTCAAAGCACTAGGTAATTATTTAGTTCTAGACACTGACTAAGTAAGTGTGGAGTACAATCTCCAAATTGCTACTTAATTATTTTGAATAACTTTGATTAAGTACCAACTAAATTACACTGAAGTGACTAATAAGTTCCAGCTAATAAAGTGATACAGGACACAGTCAAATACCTCATTAATACCAGGTGTAACAAGGTGGTAAGTACAAACAAACTCACACTAAATTTTAATGTAATGTCACACATTTAAGCAGAAGGGTAAATCAGAAACACCTCCAAGAACTGGGTAGTTATATGCTGTAAAAAAAGATGACACAAAGTATAAAGATGAAATAAACAGTAAAATGATAGTAAAAAAGCATTACTTTCTTTTACAGCCCAATTTCAGTGTGTTTTTTATGTAACAGATAGGTACATACCATATAAAGCCAGACATACACTGTGCAATTTTAGCCCGTTTTTGAGCCCAATTTGGTCGGAGCCCACTGAATTTCATAATCAGGCTGAATATCAGCTTCATCGGCCGTCATCTGCCGTGCAGTGTGAGAGGGGAAACGATGCCTGATTAACTGTCCAAACGAGCTCCGATTGAGCAGTTGGATGATTGGATAGATATCTGACATCTGATTTCTGTTTTCTGTCAGAAATTTTGGTCACTTGTCCCACAGTGTGAGCAGCCTCACAAACCGATTTCTCAAAGTCACACCCAAAACCACACAAAATCACAACCACCGTTCCTGCACAGAGGCAAAAGATTCACATTTGCGGCACCAGCATCCGTATATGACGACTTTGCTCTGTTTGACTGAGTTAAATTGCGAGGTATAAATAAACACAGTGATTTTTTTGTATTTGTATAACTGTCTGTACACCGCCTGTTCTTTATCTGCAGCGCACAGTGCACAAGTTAGCTAAGCTGCTGTAGCAGTTTTTCAATGGCAAAATCTCAAACGGCCCCCTCATTCCTATGTAGTGCACTAAATTCTGGCTTCTGCACCAAAATAGTGCACTGTTTGTCCAGTATGGAACTGTGCACATGGGTGAATCTCAGAAGGCTATTTATTAAACAACTGATACACTATATCAGTGCAGGAGCAACTATTTTAATATGTGGTGCACTATGTAGTGCGCAGGGAGCCAGTTGAGATTCAGCCAAAGTTTTTGCTTGGGACTCGGAGGTGCAGCGTGTTGTTTTGAATGAAACAGCTTTATTGTAGACAGAGCTGACTGTAGTGGCTGCGTTTGCACGTGCAGTGTGAGCACCCAAGTCACGTCATGTCAGTTGGACCGTTTGTTTTCGTACAGTGTGAGCATATAAATCGCAGGCTTTGTCCGTACATGATGGGTGATTCAAACACACAGTGTGAGCTGCCACTAAAGAACAAGATTTCTAAAATCACACAGTGTATGCTTAGTTTAAGACTCCTTGTACTTGTAGTCTGGTGTTTTACTCCACACTTTCCCAGTCAGTACTTAGAACCTGTTGGGCATTTAAGTGTAATTTAAAATAACTGCTTAGTAATTATCAGTTTTTACCTCACACCTACCTGGTTAATACTTAAAGGACTGTAAAAAAAACAAACAAAAAAAAAAACGTTGCCTGAGTGTAGTTCTAGTTAGCAAGTTAGGGAAGGCAGCATGGTGTTGAGTAGCCTGACTGGCTGATTGTATTGGATCTTCCAGCATTCTCATAGTTGTTTACTTAAGTGTCTTTGCTTGTAACTTGTAATAAAACAGGAGGGAAATTAGGGGGAAAGAGAAAGAATGAGAAAGAGACACATAATACATGGTTTACTAGCATCTGAGAAAAAATAGCTCAATCAATAGGGGCAAAGGCAAACTTCATAATACTGACACTGCATGAAAGGTAAAGAAAGCAATGAAACCCATTAACACGCCTCAATCAAGTTATAGGCCATTGCAACTCAAAACAAAACAAGGTGCCACATTTTGTTCCTCTCTTTCTTACCTCATCCACGTTCTCAAAGGCATTGATGATGTCATAGGGCAGGCATGAGAGCAGGTCTATAACGAACCATGTCTTCAGATAGTTCATACGTATCAATTTGGGGTCTGATATGACCTCTCCTCCAGGGCCCACGAACGTGGTGTGAAAGTTCAGGACAATATCCACCAGGAAGATGACATCCACCACACTGTCCACCACCAGCCAGGCCAAGTTGTTCTGCTTGGTCTTGAAGGAGACATTGTAGGGCACCATAATGGCAGTGTAGAATGTGAGTATAAGGATGATCCAGTCCCAGGTGGTCTTAAAGGTGCAGTAGTGTAAGATGATGTGAGGAGGGGTTTTAGGAGCCTCTTGCTTGTACTGTGGGAGGATGTCTGAACCGAGCTGGAGAGCCTGGACAAAGCAAGAGAAAGAACTTTGAGTTAGGATGTGCCTTTTTTGTTTATGTGCATCAGGAATTGAAAGAGAGCAGAAATTTTGTTGCCATTACTAAACCATTAGAAGTGGCAGTTACGGCTTGCAATAATAAAAGCAAGTTGATTTGATATTAATGATTTTTAATTTGTAGCCCAATAAAAAAGCAGAGAAACACTGAAGTTATTGTTGTGTATACAGTCTTGTTTTTTATTTCTTGACTTCAGATTTTAAGGTATAACAAAATTGGAACACATCTATTTACTGAGTTACACCATCATGAAATAGCAGAAATGAACCTACCAATACTTACTAGGTGGTAGAGTGAGACAAGGAAGATCGTTTAAACTTGCGGCGGCAACTAGCTAAGTAAATTGAAGGGGGCGAGGTCACCCCGGTTTATCACAGTAAAAAGTTAAATGGGTTTCACAAGGACATTGTTACGAAACGGTTTACATTTCCATCAGATTACAGCACCAGAGCTCAGCTCTGTTTGCCATGGAGACAAACCAAACATGCTAGCCAAAGCTCCAGTTCGCTCCGGCCCAGTGTGTTTAACCCCTGAGCTGCTGAGTGTGAGTCAGCGCATGATGATGGTTAAAAGAAAAAAAACTACCTTTTTAAATGGTAGTTGGACTCCAGAAAATAGATTTGGCAAGACCGATGGCCGAAACTGAGACAAGTCTGAGTACAGATACTACGGTGTCCAACAAGATAAATAAACGTCTTGAGATGGAACTCAAGTACTACAGCCCTATTAAACAGTGCAGCAAAACAAGGAACTCTAGACTTCTGAAAGCTACTGTACAACGGATGTGTGACAACGTCGCACAACAGACAGAACAAAGAGCAGCTATACCACATAGCATGTGTCACAGTGAGAGCACAGATAAACATCAAGCTCGAGGTCATTTTACCTTCTATTTATATAGATTTAATGGATGAAAACTCAACACATTTTACTGAATTTATCACATTTGACATCTGCTAACTAGGCTAGTAACATTACATGAGGTAACAAACTGAGGATTTGTCTGTTAATCTTAAAGACTTCAGCCTTCTCGGTTTAAATTTCAAGTCACATCATCTACCACTGATGTTTGTGGTTTCGTTCTGGGAGTAATTTAATGCAGTAATAGCAAAATAATGAGTGGTGTGCTGTGGCGTGTAGAGAAATTGAGCATTGCTGAAATCGCGAAGTGTAGGCTTAGTGGACATATATATATATGTCCACTATATATATATATATATATATATACACTGAACATGTATGGCATATCTTATTTGTACTTTCATGGAGTTCATGGCCTTAGAGGCTATGTTCAATGTTGTTAGACCACAGACTGTGAGATCTACTCTCAAACTGTGATTCCTCTTTGTAGTACCATTCCCTGTACAACTGTGAGACTTTACCTTTGAGAAATAACAGCAACACTATAGGGTCATAAAGGTCTCAGTGACACCTTACATGCATCAGCTCTTAGTGGGCAATGGAGTCAGCTTCAACTAGTCTGAGAACAGTAGCGAAAGTGAAAGGAGAGAGTGCAAAAAAAAAGCACAGACCTTTAAAGAGCATGACTCATTGATGATTTTGCTGGCCAGTGTAGATATCTGACCTTTCTGGTGTGAAAGTCTGTGTGTGTGTGTGTGTGTGTGTGAGAGAGAGAGGGAGAGAGAGAGAGAACAAGATACTGACCTCAGCCAGTCGTGAATGCTTGTGGCTGACTTCAGTCTTGTTCATAGGCGCCAGTTGCTGCAGTGTGCCACGGCTGTTGGTCAGCGCCCTGGTCAGCCTTGCAAACTTGGTCCATCCTACCACAGACAGAACCAGTTTAAAACACCTGGGCAACCTTACTCCATCGAATCCATCCATCTCACATCCTTACTTATACAAACGCACAGAAAATTTGCAGTGCCAAAAAGAATTGAGCCAAACTTTTATCCCACTTTCCCACATCTTTCTCTCTGTCTTGTCTTCTGAAGTTGCCATGTTTTGTGAATGAAACCCTGAGGAGGCTCCTTTACTCTATCTGCCTTGTTAAACCTTTGTCCCTCTTACTTTTGTCCATCTCTCATTCTCAAAACCTTTTAATATGTTTGCTCCCATTCTTCTCAGAGGAAAAGGCTCAAGGAATAATATCTGCACTAGCTTGTTTCTCCTATGTTCAGGTCAGCAGCCTACAAAGTCCTTTCCCTTGTGCTCTGCGCCACCTTTGGAATGAGAAAGACGTCTACAGCCACGGGGGCCACTCATAAGGCCATAACATCTCTTAACAATTTCAAAATGAAAAGGGCCAAGTTAAGCGAACAGGTACAGGAGGGTCTGGCCAAAGGCCGGGTTTGTAGCAAGTTGCCTCTCATTAATGTTTCACTGGTGGGAAGTTATTCTTTTGTCAAAATTTGATTATGGCCAGTGGGATAAGGAGGTGGACAAGAGCAGTAAATATATCCTTCTTTGTCTCAAAATAGCCGAGGAGCTGCCTGCTTTCTGGAGACCAGCGCTCAGCCGCTGCGCAGACAAAACACGCTGGCTGCCTGCAGCAGTGAGGAAATCAAAAGCCAGTTGGTGAGCCGCTGATGCTCAGCCCCTTGTTTCTTTTAGTTTGAAAACAAATGCGCCAGACTAGACCCACTCTGCTTACTCTCTGCAGAAGCCTGGATTTATAGCGTCAGCTCCTAAAAGCAGGCTGGAGGAAAGAGAGGGGAGAGAGAGAGGGGGAGAGAGAGAAGAGATGCTCTGCAGTTTTCCAATTTAAGTCACATCTCGTGAATGTGCAAAACACAACAACGGAATAGGTCTCTTGTGGCCATTTTGCTTAGTCGCAGCAATAGCACACAGGAGCACTCACTGCACAACCAGGCGAGCTCCAAAAGGGAATAAGAAGGGGAAATCAGCCATGTGCACCGATTGGAGGGCTAGACCAAAATAGCACGCCTGCCTGTTTGAGCCCTTTCAGTGGAGCACGCAAAAATAAAACATGGCCTTATGGCACAGAGGACAAAGCAGACACACGGGCTCCAGCATTCTTATGCAGGCCATTATTGCTGAGTAATTAAATGAAGATGAATTAGGTGGGAGTATTGCAGAATTGTCACAAGAGATTTAAATAAATGGATGAAGTGAGTCTACTGGGGAGGAGGCAAGTAGGGAGGAAAATCAAGAAGAGAGGCGAGGGGTCAGTTAAGGACACTGTTCGAAAGATATAGCTAGAGAGAAAAAGAAAGAAACAATTGTCCGAGCCATCTGTCTCTCTCTGAGGGCAGAGCAGAGTGACACCACTGAGCAGGACCCTGGGATCCCAGAGGGCTGTTGCAGCTCCAGCTCCCCTGCTGAGGAGCAGGCAATTCCCCACAGAGTTCCCCCAGGCTGGCCTTTGCTTCAGTATGAAGGGGGAACATTAACTTTGCCATCCTGCCTTATGGAGCATCCTAAGGCCTACCGAGCTAAACTGGGCTAAGCAAGACCAGCTCTCTCCAGAACAGGGCCAGCATTAACATAACACATAGTGACAACAGTAGAGATAGCCCCCATAATGTCCTCATTTGTTTATTAGATTGCATGTGAATGGAGCAGGCTAGCTGGCTAGTTGGCTTGGTATGTGCCTGTGTGACTTATAAACCAACCGCCAGGCTGAAGTGGGAAAAGCAAAACCAGGTCTGCTCAGAACAGGGCCAACACTACTGTAAAATATAGTGACAGAGATAGCCCTCATAATGTCCAAATGTAGTAGATTGCATGTTGTGTTAGCTAGCTAGCCAGCCGGTCAGCCTGGTACCCGCATGGTTTTGGCTCACTTGTGGCTGGGCAATTAGCTAGTCTCAGCAAAAGGCCTGCTATCCTACCTAAGCCCAGTGAGGCCTGACAAAATATCAGGTTCCAGGGCCAGTTGGGGCTAATTGTTGTTCACATACAAAATCAGGCCCAGTTTGAGCTCAGGTTTTGTATGTTTCTAAATCAGACAATATGCTTAGGTAAATTTTGCATGCTCTCATGTTCTCTCTCTTTAGTCTAGTCTAGTCAAAGCCAGTCTTACTATCCGTTTGCTATAGATGAAATAAAAATAAAACTCCCCAAATGGAAACTCTAACCTTTTTAACTCCTTGAGACCACCGGTGGTTCCAAAACGCACTTCGTCATATTCTTCATAACTTTCATATTTCATAAGTTACATTCAAAAAGTGGGTGTCATATGAGAGCTGTAACTGTCTTCTTTCCAGTCAAATAGATGGGTAAAGTCATTTTAAACCCTTATAATAAAAGAAGCTGAACTCACAATTTTTTTTGTCTACTGAAAGTTCACCCATTTTTCCACAAATCTGGGCTATAAACCATAAACAGATGGCGTCTCTTCAGTAATATACTCTGTAAAAATTATTTTTATAAAATAATACAAAAAGTGTCTGAGATTTTTGGCTTTCAGCAGTAAATTGTAAGCATATAGCAATATGTGTAAATTCAGATGGAAAAACCAAAATATACCCTGGTGAATAAGAGGTTAATATTTGAAATGAGCCAGGGATGTTTTCACTGTGAACACATTATGACCTGGTCACTGCATCAGATAAAAAGCACACTGGCCACTTAGTGTACAGCTCTGTCTATAGTATTCTGAGCTTTGTTAACAGGATGACTGCGACAGCGACATATTTACAGTGGATGCAGCCGTTCCTAACAGATATCAGTGTCAGAGTACTTCCTTGCACCAGTGAAGTCCATGTTAGCTACATCAACAGCTCAGCTTTCTGATGAGTGTGTAGAGCAGGAGTGTCCAATCGTATCCACAGAGGGCTGGTCTGGCTGCAGGCACCCCTGACCCTACTTGTTTAATCAGTTGGTCTCAGTCTTCAGCAACAGATCAGGTGTGGTCCTGCTTGTTTGAATGAAAACCCATAGACACACCAGCCATTTCATAAGATTGGACACCACTAGTATAGAGTTTTTTAATTAATTTTTGGTCAATCAACTGAAGCCCAAGTCTACCAAAACTCTGTCTACAATAATCCATCACTGTTGCGTGCAAGAGGGTTCAGGTTTCAAATTTAGTGGTACCAGTCAGACTTGCTCGGGTGAGGTCTCAAAAGTCATAGGTCACAAGTTAGGTCTTCAATTTCATGTCCATGCAGACCTGTAGTAAACCTCGCAGAAGCCTGGCTTGTGAGTGATTAGCTACCTAAATAGCTAACTTGTTCTTTTAACTAACTAGTCCACTCCTGTAGCTTAGTTACACACAGTAGCTACATAATTTAGCTTTTGTGAACTAAGAAAGAGTTACACTTTCCTACTGAATCCCTGGAGATAGAAGAGTATATGGAAGAAGAGATGGGAGGGAAGGGTTGAGATGACATCTACTAGCTAGCCTGTCCCCTCTGGGCCATTGATTCAGTAGACTCTCTCCATCTCACTGTTTAACTGGTAAAGTGAAGTCATAGTGCATATATGTGATAGCTTGAGAAGCTTCTGCCAGGGAACATTAGACTAGGAAGAATTCCCTGAGGATTCCACTGTTGCCATGGACACATTATTTTTTCATATCTTTCCCTACGTGTTATTATTTGGACTTTGCAGACTTCTCAATAGCCGATGACAAATAGCATTGGATTGATAGGTCAAAAGTGCTTCAGACTGGTAGGCAAACACATCGGGATTCCTACATTCATACAAGCACACAGAAGAACTCACCACTGCTACAGAGAGACGTTGCAGATAATTGAAACACCAGGGAAAGTGGACACAGACACACACATGTACTCAAACACACTAAAAACCATAATGATGCTGCATGGACTGATGAGGAATGTTCACAGCTATTGTTGTGCATATTTCATGACTTCCCTAAAGGCACTCTGAAGCATGGCAGTGCCTTCTTGAATGGTGCATGTGATCCCAGTGGGACTCCTAATCCCTCTGAAACCAACACTCACACACACATATACACACAGTCACACTCTGCCCAAAGATCTTTGTGCCCTAAGGCTGGTGGATAAAGCTACACAGTGACACGCAATAGAGCTCCTGGAATAGCGTTCCACTACATGACTTCCTAATTACAATCCAGGCTCTGCCAGGCATATTAAAAAGCATGTAATAGAAGCACTAAGGCCTTTTTGCACAATATGAGTTGTACAGAAGCCTAGTGAGCACTTAGCTAGCTTATCCATTACACTACATCTACCAAAACAGTTTAGTGAGGTACCTGAGACTTTATGTACTACTCTTATGATACTGTATAATATATATGTATATAGGAAAGGTACAGAACAAATCAAGTCCCAATGGTCTCCATACTCCATACATCCTTCATTTCAGTACTGAAATCCAATAGAGAGGAAGGGTTGACTAGGCTCAACATGGCACCTTAAACTCCAATTGACCCATTTCATGGATGCATGAAGGATCAAAGAGACAGTGGCTGAGGCTTGGATCTCAATAAATTAAGCATTCTGTGTAAAACTCATACCTTAACATGTTGTTCTTGTAGGTCATGTAAAGTTAATATGGTGGAATTCAATGAACATTTCCCAAGCAAAAAAGTAAGCGCTTAACTTGTGGTCAAAGGACATGGTGGTGCAAAACATTTATCAAGGAAATGATATATTAGGGTCATTATCAGTGTAAGGTGCCTTTGGTGCATTATAATGTGCAAAATAAATAAATAAATAAATAAATATATGAATATTTAAAAAAACATAAATAAATAAATAACAAAATTCTTAAAAAAAAATAGTTTTTTTTTTATTAGTTAGACTGTGGCTTTTTCACAAAACATTGATGTCAAGCTAAAACACTTTTAATTTAGTAACTGCAAGCAGACAATTTGTGAATCGACCATATGTCCACTCTGTCAAATGCAATACAAATTAAAATTAAATTAAAATATATTTCCATCAAACTGCTGTGATATGATTAACACTGATGTCTCCCTTTATCAACAGTATTTTAGTTCATGTTTTTTTAGTTCAGTTATGAAATCTGCTGAAAAATTAAAAACTACTTAAACAAAAAAGTCAAAAAATACCAGTTGTTTCCTTGGTGTAATAATTGATTTCAAAAATGTTAATTATTTACATGAATATATGTTTTTTTTTTTTTTTGCTATAACAAAGATAACTTCATTACAATGACTTATGATTAATGACATTTTATCGTAAAAATCATTCAACTACATTAAAATTAAACTTGAAAACAAATGTAAAAAAAACTTACTAATATTTTACAGTTTTATAATTTGCTGTTCTAGAGATTTTTTTTGATGATTAGTTTTTACAGAAACTTACTGTAAATTATGCAATAAGCTATTAAGAGTGGAAAAATATAATACAAAATACAATAAAGAAATGTAACTCAAGAGAACAATATGTTTTAGTAATTACTTACCATAAAATTTCTAAATTTCTGCATTTGTTTACAGTGTTTCCACTTCATCAGGGGGAGATATATGACAGAGTGGACATTTTTGCCTGAATTTAGTATTTTATCAACACATTGTTGACCTTCAGTTATCAAAGTTTTGAATTGTTCATGGTGACCTCACACCCTAATAAGCCAACATTCCCATATACATTTAGCCCACAATTTCTCATGATTGCCCTCAGACTAACACCTGGCCCCAGCGTAGTATTAAAGACTAACCTCAAATCTAGGAGGGGGAAAACCAGGAGGAATAGTGAGGCTAAAGAAGTGGTTTTGTCCTTCATCCTCTTTAGTTCTGGTGGTCTGATAATGGTGCAGATGTGGTTTTGCCACAGCTTCCCTTGACTGTGCACCTGCCTGTCTTTCTGTGTTTCTAACAGACAAGTGTCACAACAAAGTGACACTAACTACCAGTCTACTTCTCCAATTCAGCACATGTGCATGTGTATATTTCAGGAGGGTACACTGTAAGTCAAGATCCCTGTCAAAGGACAAGCGCTTCAATTTAGCAGAGCCACAACCTGATAAGGAAAATAGCCACCGGTCATACAGAGCGAGAGAGAGAGAGACAGAGAAAGAGAGAGAAATATAGAGAGATCTGACAGTGCCCATCAATCACGGACATGAGAGAAGTTCTCCAGCACTTGTTCCTAAGCTGCCGGGAGAAAGAGCACTCTCAAACACAAAGTGACAGCTCGTCTGTCTCGTGATTTGGCCCTGCGCTCTTCTGCAGCTCACAGCAGCACACAAATCAGCTCACAAAGAGCCCCTCTAATTGACCTTGTAATGGCCCTTTCACACAGTATCTCTTTTTAAAGTGGAGCATTGTAATTATTAAGGCAGTTCTGAATTCGAACGAGAGCTTGAGAGAGTAATGCATTCACTGTGAAAAAGACACCAAGCAAACACTTTGCCAAAGACCAGGTTTAGGTTTTATAATTGAATGAATTGCAACTCCTTTGGAAATGATTAACACCCTGACAAATGCAAAGGGTCTAGGAGATTTAATTGACCAATGTGAATTAATAGGCCAACAGTTTCAAACAGCCTAACCAATACAGATCTACATATGATTACTTTGCACACTGTTTGAGGCTTTTCAATATACTGTTTACTTAGGTCTAAAGTACTATGCAAAAGTCAGAGACCACCTTCATGTGTTCAATGCTCAGTCAAAAGAGCCATGAAATACAAGTTATTTATTTTTCAGAAAAAAGAGAAAATATATATTGACCAAAAATCACAGATTTTATCATTTTAAAAAAATTAGTATTTAGGAATCACAGTTTTTTAAATAATAGTATTTAGGATGACCACCATCACTTTTCTTATGTCATTATTACAGCTTCAAAACCTTTTCACTTTTTCCAGGAAATCTGCAGGGATATTTTTTCCACATCTCCAAAGTTCAGTCTTAGAAGTTGATTGCACTTTCTGCTTCTCATGAAACACATTCAGTGATGTTGAGTTCTGGACTCTGGGGTGTCCACTCCATTTTTCTGAGAACACCAGCAGCTTCTTTGTTTGGTTGCAAATGTTCTTCTGTTGTCTATTTCCTTTTCTCAGTAGCAGCTTCTTGTCAGCTACGCATCCTTTTAGATTTAGCGCTGAGTTGTCTTCTCACAGTGGAAGGATGGACAGAAACATTTTTTCAGATCTGAAGCAAGAGTGTAGCTTGACTTTCTCCTGATGAAAGTACTGTTTATCTGACAGTGACGGTTTTGATGGTTTACCACAGCTTGCACAGTTGTTAGGAGTCCCATTTTCACTATATCTGTATGCAATATTTTGATCTCCGGTTTTGAAAGCTCCTGTTATTTTACTTATTTTCCTTTGACTTTCATTTTCCTTAAGCATGTGGATTATCATATTTAATCTCCTCAGAAGTATCTTCTGAAAAAAGGAATTACATATCAAAGGAGGTCTCTGACATTTGTACAGTGCTGTATGTATAATGACAAACTTTCAGCAAGGCCCTGCCTTCTTCCACGAATACAAGCTGCAGCTCACAGCAGCACACAAGCTTGGTACCAGCACCTCTAATTGACCTTGTAATGTCTCTTATACACTACATACATTTTTAAAGTGGAGCATCGTAATTATTAAGGCAGTCCTGAATTTGAATGAGAGCTTGAGAGAGTAATGCATGCATAGTGAAAAAGACACCAAACAAACACTTTGCCAAAGACCACCATGTGTAATCTGACATTTGAATGAATTGTAAGGGCCCACTAGATAAAACATTCATCATGAGAAAATATTTAGAAAAAATAAGGACAACTAATACTATGTGGCACAGAATGTGTTGCAGGAATGACAAGAGAAAAGTGGGAAATTGAGCTTCTTTTTGTGGTGGCCAAGCAACACTGGAGTTACCTAGATGTTTAACCCTCATTAGCCAGAGTAACAACTCACAGATTCAACATGACGGGCATGGTCGAGTTAAACCTGCAGAGTTTCTTAAGCAAAACTTCAGCATTTTATGACAATTCTTGATTAAGACACAGGAGACTGAACCTTCTTCCCTCTTCAGTACATAAGTGAAGTTATTACTCACTGAACTTTTCACCTAAGTCTAGTCAAAGTCTTTTCAACAGATCAGCAAATGGAAGAGTCTTACCTTTCGTGGTCTCGTCTTCGATGGGTTGTTTGAAGACGGTTATATCCTTGAAGGTACAGAGGAACAGAACCACTTTATCGTTCTCATTCCTGATTGGGGCCACCTGCATGTACAGCCACACTGGGGTCCCTGACGGGTCCAAGGAGAGGAGGAATAAAAGGAGAGAAGGGGGCGAGATGACATAAATGGTTGTGAAAAAACAGAAGGAGAGTAAGGGAATTGGAAAAGTGAAATCAGGAGAAAAGAAAGTTGAAAGAATAAAGTGGGGTTGAGGTTTAGAAACAATGATTAAAGACATGAGAAAAGGAGTAGAGAAACTACAAGATAACTTCAGCAGCCGATTCGTTAGGAATTTGCTGTATAGCTGCCTAAAGCACTGATTAAGCCCAGGATTACTCAGACTGGCTTATCTTAAGGAAGTGGTTTAGGACCATTTAAATGCCTACACAGTTGAATGGAAAGCATGAAATAAGGACTTTAGGCCTTAAAAGCTACATTATTAAGGTTAGTCATACTATGTTCCTTATCGTACAGAATGTAGAGGCAAAGGCATTTGGAAACGGAGTAAATTTTAGTTCTCTAAGCTACTGCACCAGCACACAAAGGGAGATCATTCATAACTAAGAAATGATTAAACCCTGAAGAGAAGTCTATGGTAAAGTGACAGATTTCTGAAAGACTGGGACAAATTACTTTCGAAGAATCTAATACAGAAGTGTCTGCAAAATAATTCTTATGCTCAATATTACCACTACTTAAAGAGGCATTCTGGTCCAAAATTAGAGGTTAATACGTTATTTGCAGTTTTATGTAATATTCCATAGAATACAGAGATTTTATTGGCCTCTCACTATAATACCCATCATGCATTATGCAAATACATCAAACAACTGTTGGAAATCCCTGTGGTGTCAACCAATCCTGACTGTTAGCCTAGTCACTGAGCTATAGGCTAATAAATACAATCTAGCATTAGTGTAAACTCTTACCTCAGCCATTGAACAAAATCACTAAGAAAAATAAACTTAGGTGGCCAAATTGAGGATATTGAGATAGCCAGGTTGACATCTTGCCACCTTTAGCTTTTTGCTTGTTGTCTTCATCGGATGAGTCATTTCTATCATTTGAGTAATTTATTCTTTCTGTTCTAACAATAATTTGAAGACAGTACAGATATATTGCTGTGATAAGATATTCAGGTTCCTAGCAATAACTTTAGCTATGTGGCTTCCATCTGAATCAGTTAACAAAAAAGCCCACCCCAAAGCAGTTGTAGCTTTACAAAAGTTCCTCCCACCTTCAAGATATATCATTGGAAGGGGATTTTCCTAGCCTTTAAAAAGGAAAATCTCACTACAGAGAATACTGCGGCACTACTGAGACAAGAAGTCACGTTTACAACAGATGTAGCTATATTTAAATTTCTCATTTTGGCCAGAATGTCCAAAAAAGTTCAAAGATTTCACTTAATTTCTTGTATTCAGAGTTGCTGGTATTATGCTATTACATTATGTTTTCTAAGTTCAATATTTACCTTGAGGCTAATGGGAACTTTTTGATATGCTGCTCACTTGTGTCTTTGTATAATAACAATCTTGAACAGAACCCTGAAGAACTTATAATAAAGCTTTTTGACTATGTTAAAAAGGTACTTTGGGACCAAGCTAATTATTTCCGCCTGGGTTTGCCTCTAGAAAACTCCTCACGTAATGGTTCTGACTCAGAAGCTTTGGAAATGAATGAGAAGTAAGTGAAGAGCAGCTTAAATACGGCTTAAATGAATAAGCACTTTAAAAAAGCCCTCTTATGGATGGCAGAAAAGCTCCTGTGCGTTCTTTTCCTTGATACAGAGGCTGCAGGCCCAGCTAAGAGCCTTAAACACACTATGATTGCCTGCGACGTGGCTTGTAATACTCACTGTTCTTCTTATAGAGCAGCACTTCAAAGCAATTGGACTCATAGTTATCAAAGGTCTGTCTGACTTTGTCTATTGTCTTCTTGTCTGTCAGTTCACCGTACATGAAACTGCCAAGAGGGAAAGAGAAAGAAGAAAAGAATGAGAGTGAGAAGGGATGGAGGAAAGGAGAGGCAGATGGGAAATGGAAAAAGAAAGAGAGACAGAGAGAGGGACACAGAGAGACAGAGAGAGTTAGGTGGGTGTGCACACCTGTGTGGCACAAACATCCGCTCAACAAACTCCTTATCTGTCAGTGTCAATTAATTCTGTGAGGGTGCATGTGTTGGGCGGGGTGGGCGATGACGCTGGCTGTCAGATCCCACCGTTGCACTGTTTGTCTTCAACACAGAGGAGGCTGGGTAAACACACACAGCCTGACCGCTTAAGGAACACTGATCTCACTCTTATTGCTTTTAATGCCACTTAATGGGTCTACTTTCCAGACACAGATTAAAGCTAGTCTTGGGACTAAATTAAATGGTTAAAAGGAGAATCGATACTCAAATCCTTTTGAAAGACCAGGACTAGGCTTAACCTGCTCCACAAAATCAAAACATATTTTAAATAGAGCAAACATTTTGATATTGGTACTATATATTGGTGATGTTAATGCACATATAATGTTAATGTGATAAAAATGGTTGTTGTTTTTTTTTTCTTTTTCATTGTTAGTGTTAGTGTTCAAGCTAGTGTTGTAGTCAAGACTGCTTGAAGCAAGTCTGAGCCAAGACTGAGACTTTGCAGTAGTCAAGTGCAAGTTAGGACCGAGTGGCCGAGACAAAAACAAGACTGAGGTCAGATCAAGATTTCTTTTTCCAGAATATAAAATTAAAAGGAAGAAAATTGAAATGTGCTTGGAGCTCACTGTAAATGAACTATCATTCCCTTTATATATATATATATATATATATATATATATAAATATATATGTATACATATTTTTTTTTCACCTGGAAAACCAAACGAACATGCAATTTGACAAGGGGTGCCCATTTTTTTGCATATGACTGTATATGACAGGAACATGCAGCCACTGCCCTCACTGGATGTTGGTGATGACATCCATGTTCATGTGAACCCTGCATTCACAGGATGATACTATTATTGAGTTATTGAAATGAATACATTGTGATGAAGCTTATTTCATGCACTCATAGAACTTTCACTGCTTTTTAAATAGAAAGAAAATCATGGTCAAATTTGAGCAAATAAGATAATATAGACACAATTCACTACACAAATGCAATTAATTGCAACTCATTATTTTAATTATTAAAAAAACACTAGCAAAGACATGCTCATTCATATAATTATGCAAGTAACTGTAATGCGCGCACACACACACACACACATACACACACCATCTAAACCGCTTATCCTTCTGGGTCGCAGGGTGTAATGCAATGTTTATGCATTATTATACGTATAATCATCCATTAAAGTGTGGTAAGCATAAATCATATGTGACTCTGCCAACAATAAAGAGTAAGGAAGCCAACTCACTCCTCCAATAAAACACTGACTGCAGGATTGATGGCACCTATTGTCAGATTCTATTACACTGTAAAGTATGACTAAGCATGTGGATTTCTGGATTTGTCAGGTTTATGATATTTCCCAGTACAATTTACTTTAATGTATCTGTCATAACCATTTAATGGATGTTTCACCAATCAGTCTTACATACCTCAGGTTATTAACTCATTACTTACATCTAATGCAAATAAATCTGCAAACTGTTATGTGTAAAACTATCAAAATATTTTACTGACAGTGACAAAATAAGATAACATTTTGATAGCTTGTCATTTATTTGAAAAAATGGATAAGTAGCAATGAGGTCACTAACGGCCCAAGATATCCATTTAAGGCACAAATTACATATGCAGTGCAGTGAGTAAGCAACTGGATGATTTGTTTTGAATCTGCACACATAAAACAGTGACAATAAGACTCAAATATATATGGAAAGAACAATACAGGATTCATATTCCTTCTCAGATTTCATTAGTTACTGGACAAATGGACATATCTTGATGAAAATGGCTCTCTTTAGCACTTAGTTGCACTCTTTACAGTCGATGACTGCCTGAAAAGTCTATGACCCAGTAGACATTGAGTATCTTCACTGGTAAAGTATTGGCATGTCAGAGAAAGTGAAATGATTGCTGAATGGTGTTCAGGTCAGGTGCTTAACATGGCCAGTCAATAACATTCCACATCTGGATACCACAAAATTGCTTTACTAGTATGTTTTAAGTTATAGTCCTACTATAAGGTGAAGTACCATCCACTAAGTTTTGAAGCATGTGGTTGGATCAGAGCAGTTAAGATGCTTACACTTCAGAATTCACTCCGCTGCTGCTGTCAGCAGTCACATCTTTAATAAAGATAAATGAGCCAGTTTCAGTGGCAGCCGCAGAGATCTGTGCTACCATGTTTCACAGATGAAGTGGTGTTCTTTGGATCATGAGCAGGATTTTTTTCTCAACACCTTCTTCATTCCATCACTCTGCTACAGCTTAATCTTTGACTTAGACTTTGTCTCATGACTCTAAAGGCTTTATATACAAAGTATAAACCGCAAAATAGATTTTCCCAAACTTTCTGTACATTAAAATGGTTAAGGTGCAAGTCATTCAGACAGGCTCGACATGAAATTCTAGAGAAATTTGCAGTTATAGTTCACAATGGTGATGATAGGAACCAGCTTTCAAAGCGTTTAAAAGCTATGTCACAAAGTTATGACGCAAAATGGTTACGAGTATATTTCCTGATATCTGAGACAATGTGAAAGGTCAAATTACATCTTGTTAATTTTCTATGTAAAAATAAGCACACATCCTCTACAGCAAATACACTTAAATATGGCACTTTTCTACAAATTCTCATGCAGAATTTCTACTTACATGCTGAGTTAAATATATTGGATATTAATAATGTGCCAAAACTTTTGCACAGGCCATATTTCAGTAGTTTTATTTCTCCAAATATGTTTAATTCAGCAAGTAAAAAGCAACTGTGTATTAAATTGTGTAGAAGTGTGTTCTCTATAGAGGATGTGTTAACTTGTTTTTCCTTTGAAAATCAACAAAACGTCATTTTATCAGTGCCCCCCATGCTTTTGCATAAACATCGCAAACCCTGGTTCCTATCACCACTGCTGTAAAGAATGTCCTTCACTCCCATTTGTCTTCAAGCTTCTCTACAGCGCACCACTTCACATTAAAACACTCTGAACGGCTTTGTTTACATTTATGCAGACATTCGGAAAAGTCAGTTTCTTTTTAATCTTATTTCAAATCTAAAGTGCATTGTGTCACTGTCCAATATTTGTGTGGAGGGATTCTCTGGTCATGCAATTGCTAAGCAAATTCAAATGACAAAAGATCCATCAGTAAGAAGGAACTCTCCCTCTTAGCCATCTATCAGGTCTGTCACAAAGTTCTCCAAAGTGGTTTTATATAAAGGGGAAATCAGAAAGTTGCTGTCCCCATGGCAACAGTCACTGCTCTTTGATTGGGTAGAGGGGGATATTTAAGACCGAGTCTGAACCTGCAGACAGGTGGCTATGGCTCATGGAGAATAGTAGACAGTTATTTTGGTCTGCTTCTCTCTCTCTCCCTCTCTCTCCCTCTCTGTTAGCATGATTACAGCCTGGGAGATGAGCAGTTCTGAAAAAAAGGCTGCCAGGCTTGTATGGACAATTTAGTAAACTCGTCAGAACAAAGACATCTCTCTCAGCTCTACTCCGTCAAAGTTTTGCTTGTTTTAATACTCTGCTCATCACTTTGGACTCCATAAGAGCAGAAACAGAGGTATAATGACTTCTCTGAGGGCGTGCAGAGCTGTAACTGGTGGGCGCTTTAGCAGGATATAGTATCAGATCTTCTCGTTTTATTGCTTTAGCTGACAAAGCATTGCTCAAGCTCTGTTTCTAAAAACCTCTCTGCAGCCACAGCTGCTTGCCTATCACATTCGGTGGGTGGTGTTTCCATTCCCACCCCGAGTGACAGACAGTCTTCTGGTCCTATTGGGCGATAACAAGGCACTCGGAGATGGCCCTGAGCTAACAGCAGGAAATTTAGCATGTAAGCAGCCAGAGGAAATAAAATAAATAAAATAGCACAGGGGCAGTGCAAGTGTGGCTCCAAGCACTGCAGGACAGAACTGAGTCCGGGTCAATTTAGAGCCACCACCCACTGAGGCAGGGGAAGGAGTGTGGCTTTTCTACCTCCAGCGCTGCGGAGGAAGTGTTAATTAGCTCTGTACCTGTGTCACCACTGACCAGTAGAATCAGCAAGTCAAGGCACACTGACACTGTGACTTTTAAATCAGTCACAGTAGAACAGCCAGAGTAATTGACTGTGAACGGGCCCTTATTTCTGTGTTAAAAAAAAAAAAAGTCAAACCCTGCATTGCAGCTTTTTTGCTTCTATAAGTTCTCCATCAACAATAGCACCAGCACCAGTAGCTCCACTGCAAAAGAGTTAGCTTTCCCAATGCATTAAGGGAATGTGTTTCACATGCAAGTCAGGCAATTTCTTCTAGCAAAATAAACAGAATTTTAATGGGACAGGACATAGTGCTTTCTTCTGTTATTGTGGGCACTCAGCTCCACAGTGAAACAGTAACTGAATTACATTAGCATTAGCAGGAGTATTTTGAGACATTTTCACACTTGGCTCATTTCATTGTTTTAAGTGATGTTAGACTGAAGTGTTTTTTGAGATGCCATTTACGGTAGCGCTTTCTCTTACAGTTCCCTAAGTTCTGGGTATTACTTCAAGCAAAATGATGCCAAGTTTCACTCACCATTAAATTCACTACTGAATTTAATTAATAAATTACATTCAAATGCCCAACAGGTACTAGATATTAGGGTGAAAAGAACATAGCAAAATACACTACAGAGCATTGAGACACCCCTTCTAACTACAGAATTCAGCTGGTTTAAGATGTACTCATTGCTGACACAGGTGTTCAATTGTGCAAATACAGCTTGTATAATTTCCATAGAAAAGCACTACCGGTTAGAGTTGGGCAATATCCCCTTTTTTAATACCTTCAAAACGTCTCCAAATATTATTGCAGTATACAGTGTCACCTGGGGATTGGATCTGTAGCCTGATCGGCTAGCTTAGCATTAGCTTAGCGAACAGGTTACAGACCCAACCAATGCCACGTACCAGAGTACAGGTTTGATTCTGTCTGACTGGTGCTCTGCTCACACAAGTTTAGGTAATAAAGACTAATGTCTGACAGAGCAAAAGTCACGTCACTGGTGTTGGAGTGACAGGAGGCCGAAATTAAACCTGTTTGTGGTGTTTGGGACTGTAGCGTAGTGTTGGGCAAAATACTTTGAGAAAGTAGTGATGGCTGAATACTGAACACACTGTCTTGAATGTATTCAGCAATATATTCCATTATAATACATAAAAAGTAACATATTGAGAGTATGTTTAGAATACGTTTTATAAGGCAAATATATAGAATATATATTGATAAGGCAAATGGGAAAAACTGCTGTTGTATTTTTTTCCATTGACACTATTCCTCACTGTTACTGGCTAGCAGTTTTCTTCATGTAATTCCTCTGTAAACATGTTTAATGAAAAAATCACTCATGTAAATGAAGTTAACAAATTCTCAACGTCATTTTGGCTCTCATTGCCTGCTTCAGGGCACAGCTGGTCCCATAATCAAACAATTCACCATATCACAAAAACAAAATCTTGCAAATTTGACTATAAAGTGGGTAGCTTTGTTATTTTCAATTAATGATGTATGTAACTTGCCATGAAACACATCCGCATGCCCAGTACGACACTGATGCTAAGCTTACTCATGAACGTGTCCACTACTGTTTAGTTTCCTCATCCCTCAAAGGAGTTTAGTAACACTGAGATAAATAACTGGCTCATCGCATTGATTTATCAGTCTACTCAGGGTTTAGTAGCAACTTCAGTGCTTGTAAATAAACATTTTTGAGTTCTTCTTTAGAATATCATGCTTTACATGCTGTGCTAATTTTAAAATAAATAAGCGCTGGTAATGTTTCTTTTAAGGATGCTATATATTAAGGTAAGGTAAGTACAGGTAAGTATTCCAAAAACATTCCCCTCAAGTACTGGCTTTATGAAATGTAACCTGGAGTGAATACAGACACTTAATTTCTGTATTTTGAATAAAAATTCCCAATACTTATATTCTGGTCCACCCAAACCCTGCTGTAGCATTAATCTAGATGAAAGATCAGCTGTGTCCCAGTAACTGGAACTTTTTTGCAAACATCATAAGGTGTAAAACCTCCAAACACAACTCAAACAGGGTTCATACTAGGCTACAAACATCGGATTTATATCTGGAAGAACTTAAAGTTTCAGCTCTCACACCACCCATAAGTGAGCCCCTCTAAAATATACATGAGTAGAATAGTTCCTTTAGTTGTTCAGACATGGAATTAAAATTGATCATAATTTTGAAATAGTCATCATTTTAAAATACCGCAGTGTACCTTATTATCATTATACCGCCCACCCTATGGCCAACAGAACAGGACACTCTGGTGCAGCCACACACAAGCCTAGGGTCACCATGTCTAATGCTAAGTGTTGACTAGAGCATTGGGCTATGGAGCAGTCTGGAGTGCTCCCTGGAGTGATGGAGCACCTCTGAGATGAGTTGGGGTGGTATTTCTGATCCAAAACTAATAATCCAGGATCAGTACCTGATCTCACTAATGCAATCGAATCCTCACAACAGTGTTGCAACATCTAGTTTAAAGTCTTCCTCTAAGACTAGAGACTGTTACTGCAGCAATTGGTGGTCAAACTTTTTATTAATACCCTTGGAGTTGGATGAGCAGGTGTCAACAAACTTTTGAAAATATAGCATATCTCATAATGGGACGATTATATGCAGCAGCACATTGGTAAGTACATTCTCACTAAATTCCACTGTAATGTCACATGTTTAAGTAGTAGAAGGTTACATGGCGTAAAACTAGGGCAATACTTACATTTTCTCAATGAATTATATCATCTAAAGGGCTTAATGTGTGTGTTTTTTGTTTTTTTAATAGCACCTGCACCTGAAATTCCACTACAATAGACTCAGCTCTCCTAATGCATTGAGGCAGTGTGCTTCATGTACAAGTCAAGCATTTTCTTCTTGTCAAATAAACACAGAATTGTGATGGGACAAGATGTGCTGCTTTCTTCTCTTAATGTGAGCATGAAACAGGCTAGTTGCACTCAGTTCCCCAGTAAAGCAGAAATTAAATCAAAATGCCATTGTGGAATTTATGACTACTGAGACATGTTGAAACTTTTGCATCTCTTAAAAGTGTTTCCTGAACTTACAATACTCAGATTTTTCATCCTTATGTCTAGCAACTGTATTTGTAGCACGCAGCCGATAACCACAGACAACAATCATGAAGAATTTCACTGTACTTAGCTCAAGAACAGTGAACAAGATCGACTCAAAACCATTGTTGGGGTAGTTACTCATGGGGATCAGAATTGAAGTCGTGCAGCCAGTTGTCACAGGTAGCAGACATGCACAAATTACATGCAAGGACCGGGGATAAATGGATAAATACATCACGTTTGTTAACATGGGTTTGTTAACATGGGAAACATGTTCCGTGTAAGATTAAATATGCATGAGATTTTTCTTAATACACAAATATTAACTAGCTCTGCTGTCAGATAATGAATGGGCAATAAAACGACAGACAGTAGAAGAAGCCACTCACCTGCACGTGCTGCTCTTCTGCATGACCTCAGCCCTGTGGTAGCCAGACAGCTTGCAGAATCCGTCATTACTGTACACTATAGGCCATTCCACAATCTGGGCATTACCCAAAAGGAAACTGGTCTCTGCACATGAAAAAAAGGAAAGAAAAAAAAAACTTAAAATACAGTAGAGATCCACGCAAGATCCACTGGAGCAGTTTGATGATGCACACTGTAACAAAGCCGAGTGCTTTTCCACTTTCACAATGCTTGCAGCACACTGAGTACCTGGCGTATGAATAGGGCTATTACAATCCAATAAAAGAAATATTCACAAAACCTACTGAAAAGGAAATTATCTAAGAAAAAGGAAAAAAAATCAAGCTGTGGCCTGCTCTAAATTGTTCACTTTTATTTCTTTAGTTCTAAAACTTTTGTTCTAAAACTACAACCGCCTACACCACCTACCACCCACAGCTACATGATTCATATGTCACAGAGGAAAGGTAAACAGTATACATACATACCAGTGCACATAACAGCCTCTACCAACAATCCCCCAAACCAAAAGTGCTCCTGATCCTAAAGCCAAAAAGCAATGTAATGTCTTTTGCCAATTAAAATGGCTATTACTAGTTATTCATCCTTCAGAAGAAATAAGATTTGAGGTTGACCACTTGCACAAGGAAGAGGAAAGTCAAAGGAAACAGATATAGAACTGGAGTTCAAAAAATTATTTAAAAATGAAGAGAAAATGGGACTAACAACCAAGCAAGACCTAGTAGACCACCAAAACTGTCATCATCCGATAAACAGCACTTTGAGAGATTGGAGAAAATCAAGCCTTTTCCTTGCTTCACATCTAAAAAATCTGATCCTGTCCATCCTTCCACTGTGAGGAGAAAACTCAAAGCTATGGGTCTGAAAGGATCTGTAGGTGTGTGTTAAGAATCTGTTAATGGAAAAATAAAAAGGAAGACAAAATAAATAAAATAGATAAAAAATGAACAAAGAAGCTGCTGGTATTCTCAGAACAATTAACTGACCACCCCAGTGTCAATCAGTGTCTCAACATCACTGAATGTGTTTGGGATTTTTTGGATCATGAGAAACTTTTAAATCTTCTAAGACTGAACTTTGGAGGTTCTGAAAAAAATATCCTTGCAGATTTCTCTGAAAAACTGGAAGGAAGTCTTCTGAAAATAATAAAAGCTGTAATAAAGTGGACACAGTTGTAATTAGGTGGACACAGAGAAGACACACTAAATACTAAAAACCTGACATTATATCTTGTTGTTGAGGCATCTGTGTAAAGTTTTTCTGTTTTTTTTTCCTGAACCTGAAAAATGAATAGCTCGAACTATATGAAATAATTAAATAAAGGGTGGTATTTGACTTTTGAATTGGGTAATTCCAGCTCTTCCAAGAACAATCTCCAGAGATGCTAATTAATTAATTCACTAATTAATTAGTCAATTTAATTCCTTAATTGTAGCTTTGGCATTATAACAAACAAAGCTTTAGATTGGCAGAAGTAAGCAGCTGTACGCAGCCTGTATCAAGCTGATAAAATGCTGTACAAACACCTTCACTGGAGGTTTTAGAAGTGTTACCAGGAAAGCTGAGCTCAGCCCAAAAACTGCAGCCTCCTCAAACAGGTATAAAAATAGACAAACAAAGAGGACATTACAGCAGAGGAGACGAATCAGGGCACAATTTGTAACAGAAACGTCTTTAGAGGGACACAAATATCCCAAATGCACCCCGTTCACGGGCCCTGTATGCAGCCTTCGCAGTCACAAGGAAAGGGAAGAAGGCATAAGAGAGTGACCGGGATAGAGTGAGAGAACAAGAAAGAAGAAGAAAGAGTGGCATTTGAAGCAGAAAGGTGGCTGCTTCTCTCCTCGCTTGAATAAATTGTATTCCATCGTCCTCCTCCCTCTTGTCTGCAGGACTGGCTGAGAGAACGACAGGGATAGAGGGCTAAAATGAAGTGATGGCCCCCGGAGGGACGCATGCAGAGGACCTCATTACAGGGGCCTCCACTTGCCGGCCCCCTGTGTCAGGGGCCAGTAGTAAGGGAGCAATCCCTGAGGGGCCAACCGACCCAGATCCAGTCCAACAGATCCCTTCCTCACCAAGAGATAACTGTGTTACTTTCTGTCACTGGTGATATACTCGCCTCTCCAAAAAGACAGCCCATTCTCGCTAATGAAGCCACAGCAAAGCGGCCAGGCGGAAAGAGGAAACGCTGCATAGGCCAGGGTAGCAGAGCAAGCATGAATATATCAGCTTCTAAAGCAAAGGGACACTGATGAGGGTCAAGCGCATAGACAGAGTGCCCTTATTTACTTATATTCTTAGTTTAATCCAAAGAGCAATCACATTCTTAGTTCAGCTGACCATTTGTAAAATTTTGATAAAGTCTTGCCTTCTTTCAATATTGTTGCTATGTCCATCATATAGCTCAGGCTACCTGGTAGCATTCATAGCACTTAAAATGTTTATAATAAAATAGATAGCACTGGTCCTTAAATCTGATTGGCTGAGCTGCATTTGAAGCTGTTGTAAAATACCCAATATACGCACATCTATGACCACCAAGTCCCTAAAATTTCTTATGCTGTTAATGGAATAATCTTTAGCTGTAATACTGCTCAAATGACCACTGAGTGTACTGTTAAAGTAAGTACCCAGTTTTGTTTAAACTGGGGGGCTGACAACTTATTTTCTTAGCTAGAAATAGGCTGATCAGCTGGCTAACAGGCTAAACATATCACAGGCCACTGTATGATTCACTGTAAAACTGCAATCTAAATACTTAATGAACGTCACTTGAATGAATCCCTTACTTTTCCACGTTTCAGTCAGATCTGCCTTAAGCAGCATCAAACCCCGGCCAAATCTCAAATGGCTCCCTTAATCCTATATAGTGTGCTAAGTAAGTTATGAAATTCAGGTTTCTGCACCCAAATAGTGCACAATTTGCCCAACAGGGAATTGTGCACACATGGCTGAATCCCACATGGCTATGTGTTACACATATTATGCACTGTTTGGGTGCAGCAGCTGGTATTTTAACAGAATGAGGAGGTGAGTTTAGGCCCCAGCATAGGAAAAGAGATACAAAACAGTGTTAGCTTGGTGCTAGTATGAGACTGCAAATTGCAAAAAGGCACTAATGAAAATTCGCATTGTCACTGCGGTGGTGATTTGATAAGCAAAAATTACCTATAAAGTGTTTACCTACAAAAGGTTTCTGCATTGAACACTGCAAATTATGACATAGTAATAGTTTCTGCTTTGCCTGTGATAAAATCACTGTAATGCACAGCTTCTTGTGTCTTGTTTTAGCAGTACAAGGAAAATTTAGAAGCACAGTACATTTGAAACGTGTCATTCAAACATAAACTGGCTTTACAAGATGTTCAATGCAGGCAAACATGTTTGAGAAGTGAAATATGCATGTAGGTCAAGCAAACATAGATTCTGAAAACCATGTGTACATTAATCAAACCAGGAAAAAAGATTAAACACTCAATACTAAGCCTTTCGTGTCTAATAAGGACATTTTAGTGACAAAAACTAGCCCTTCAAATGATTCCTTTCTAATGCTAACACTGAAACTAGTTGGTGGAGGACAACTTTTATACTTTTAAACTTTAATGAAACAATACAAACAATGGCATGTGTACAAGAGCATTAATATTTGTCTCAACACAAATGCTATAATCACAAATGTCAGCAGTGTAAATCTTACACTGACAAACTTAATCTGTCTGATTTATCAAGCTGTCAGCAGCTAAGTTAAGAAAAGCGAACTAGTAAGCTAAGTAGTCTTAACTTTTTTCCACAGCAATATTTTCTATTAGACATCATATCAAAATATTTTTAACAAATATAGTAACCCAGATAAAGTTTAGCTCACCTTAGAGCTAGCATAATTCTGACTGTTATTGATTCTGACACTAAACTCTGAGTTTGATCTTCCACATAGTTTAATCTAAAACTTTTCATCTTCAGGAACAAAATAAAAACACCACCATCCTCCAGATGATTAGGATAGCATGTTTCTTGCACTATCCGTTCCTCAGCAACACCTTTCCACCTTCTCAGTCTAATAGCTTTTTTTTTAGAGGATTTCTCTCAAAGATTTTTCTTAGCTTTATGACAGCAGGAACGTTTAGAGACAACTGTCTTTGGCTGAGAGGCATAACAATCATAATTTTACAAATGGTCAGTGCAAAGTGCAGTTACATTCAGTTCAACATGCAGCTACATTCTAAATTGAGTTTCAAGTGCAGTTACACTCTAAATTCAAAGTGTAGTTACACTCTAAATGCAAAGTGCAGTTACACTCTAAATTCAGTTCTAATTGCTTGTTTCAAAACAAAAGCCAATCTGATGCAGCGTGCAGAACTGCTGAACATTACAGATCAATTTTATGACCACCACAGATAAACACAGTCAGCACAGTGTTGTCCAAGACCCACATATCATATTCAGGTGGCTGGTCTACACTGATTCATAACTGACTGACCTTTTCTCATACAGCTAAAATGCTTAGAATCCTGTAATCTCATTTAAGGCAAACTAATCCAAATTCTCGCTTGTGTCTTTATCGAATTACCCTGATCTCCCTTTAATTCTCAAAGACGTCTGTGTCTTCGCCTGCCAGATGATGTGGTCTTAAATAAGCAGGTTCCCTTTAACATACACATTGACTGCAGGCCCAGTTCCACGTGAAGCCCAAGGCGCTCACTCAGCGCGTCCAGGCGTAGCTTTGTGCTTTCTGATGGGAAGCTGGCGAAAGCTTATCATGCCAATTGTGAATAGGAGGCATATTGAGGGAGATGAAAGACGGAACGCCACGCACACCAGCTCCATGTGGGAGGCCAACAGGCAGCTGCCAGGCCACTCTCCAGCGATTCCACCGCAGACTGTTTACCACTAAACACATAGGTTTCACACGCACACTCATTCGCCCACACATTTACGCATAGACGGGCAGGCAACAGTCAAACACAGAGACCAACAAAGAAACACAGAACCAATGGCTGAGGACCAGAGTGGGACTCGTTTTCAGACCGAGAGTTACATGATGCAGACCAGCCCATCCCAACCTGTAGCTTCTCTCTGCTACA